CGCCCCTCTCTTTCTAATTACTCGGACCGAATACAATCTTACTGGTTAATCCTTGTTTTTGTTGGCGTACGATCGTGTTCCGTCTCCGTAAACGACCGGCTTGATCGATTGACAGGGCTTGCGCGAAGGAGGGTTATTCGCGCGCGAAATACGCTGACCCAATAAGTCACCGTCGGTGCCGGGCCCCCGTTTATTCGGCCTCCGAGGTATGGCAGCCGGCGCTCGCGCAATAACAACCGGGTCGCTTGCTTGCTGCCGCTTGCCACCGTTCCTCCGCAGGGAGCCTAGATGTAAGAGAGGGAGCGACTGAAACCACGGAGAGCGTTTGCCCCTTGTGAATTGTCGGAGGACGCCTCCCGCGCAAGTTGATCGCGAGTGCGCATGCGTGGAGTATTCGCGATGAGAAGAGCGGGCAGAGACGCTTGCGGACGATCAACGCCTTCGTCCCCATCTCGCAGCTCGTACTTTTAACGCGACCCATAAAGTCACACTGCGAATACGTCGTATCAAGGATGTGTGTGAGCAGGTTGACTGCGGCTTAAACCACGTGACCTCGATGGAGCAGTTGGGACCACTCTGCACTCTCTAGGCACTCCGCTCGTAGTTTGCCGAGGTCCGGCTGAGTGGACGGCGCGCGTTCGTTATGGGCCCTTGCGCCGCCGTTCGCCGCGTGTCTGTTGACCTCGACACCGCCAACATCGCGACGCTGATTGGCTGCGCGGGTTGCCACAACTTTTTGCCTCGTCGGAATTCGGGAGATTGCGATAAGGGGCCCGCCGTGTAGTGAAGTTGACCAATACCGCCTTAGAGACGTGATTGGCTTACCTTCGTCCACGGCCACGTAGTTAGCAAACCTGGTATGCGGGATGGAAAAGAACAACAGGAACGCATTAAAACTTGGAACCAGTCATGGGTATAGTAATGAGTTAATGTAACTTAGCTACTTTAAAAAAAAAAAAAAAAATCAGGTAGCTCGTGACTGTAGTTATATTACATTTTCTTAAAGTAACGACGTTACTTCGGTCGTTACTTTTCAGTTTCTCGATAAAAAAATTATCGTTGAACGAGTGCAGTCTAGCTATTCCTTTCCCTTTCCAAATTATGTGTTCCGACATTTCGAGTGTCGAGTTGGCCTTGCACAAATTTGTGAATACGTTTTTTTCTCGCGAGTCACGACCCGAATGTAGCCGCGTGTAGATTTGATGAAAAAGAGGATGTAGTTATCTTTAGGCACGCGCTTGTACTTTGTGACTCAACACCTATCTAAACACACTATGATGTTGCCTTCTTTTTCTTTTTTTTTTTTTCCGCTCTTATTTTTTTTGTTGCGTGAATCAACCGTGAAATGCGGAGGGCACTGGGCATGTTTCGTATTTTGATTAGCGCCACAACCCCGGCTTGGTGTCAACAGTCGAAGCAAAACTTTGTGCTATTTTCGCAACGTTTGTTCCTGGTTTGCCGGGGACGATGTGAAATATGTCCAGGGGCTCTATGTACCCAACGCAACCGTCAGCGAGCGGTTTTTTTAAAATGCTTTTCTTTAATTTTTATTTTGTTATGGATAAATAACTGAAATGTAGCGCGGTTACTTCTTAAAGGTAACTGTAATTAACGAGTTACCCTTTCCTTGCAGTAACTGTGACGGTAACTTCGCTACTTTTTTTTCTGAAATCAGCTGTAACATGTAACGAGTTGCTTTTTGAAAGTGACTTACACAAGACTGTTTGGAACGAGTAAAATAATATAGAAAAGGGGGGACAAGAACTATAGACAGTCGTGATCAAAGCGTGAGCGTCTCCCAATGCTGGGCAGAGAGCAAAATGATGTTTTCCCGCATACCCAAAGTTTCACGATTAACCATAGGGTTGACTCGCGCAAATTTTCTAAAATTTCGACTGTCACTTCGAATTACACACTATTTGATCTTCGTATCCAGTGTTGACGACGCTGGGAAATTTCACAATAGTTCGTATTGTTAGTTGAGGCGGTTTAGATGGCTCCGTTGAGTGCGCTTTTCACTGCGCACCCGTGTGCAGAGGAGAAGCGACACCCGCGGAGTACAGACATTGCGACCCTGTGTGTCTCGCTTTGCCGCAGCGCAGCCGCGAGCTTGAGAAACGTACGAAAACACACACGCACACGCACGCACGCACGCATGCACACGCTCGCACGCGCACATACACACGCACACACACACAGACACACGTACTCTACGGTAAAGGGGGATATTTCTGAAAAAACATCTCGATTGGACGGAGCCGGGCTGTGCTGTAGGTTTAATGATTATGTCAAATCTCTCGATCTGCATTTGCACGGGCTTCAGACTGTTCGGGGGTACTGCCAATGAAGATTAAACAAAAATTAAATGCGCAGCGTACAAAAAGAAGCTTGAGTATAACCCCAACGAGTTCGGCTAAATTTTAACACAGACCGTGCTTTTATCGGCCGAATCATTTCAGAAAAGTTTCACGAAGAACCGCCACGAGGAACCGGCGTGAAGAACCGTCACGGAGATCCATCACGTTAGATCATGACGTCACGATGTTTTGTTCGCGCGATCAGTGTCACTTTGTGTACGATGGAAATTTTGCTCGAGTATACTATATGAAGGGACAACGAGCGAGGTGTACCGTCAAAAAAAAAAAAAAAAATAAACGAACAAAGGAGTTAACGGTTCCTACCACTATGTCCTGCCACTATGTTTATTTATTTTCACGCGCCCCATACTGGCCCCGAGGTAGGAGTCTGCGCTAATGGCTGGAAAAACTTGTACCCACAGTGTGCGAGTTTGCGTAACTTCCCGCGGAAATCCTGCATCATCTAACGCGGCGTATATGCACAGGGAGCATAACGGTCTGCTCTCGCAGTTGCGTTGGTTTTCTTGTGGAGCAGACGTTTGATCGCAAATCATCGTATAATTATCCATCCTATGTCTGTTCGTTTTTTTTCCGCGAGGTGTGCGTGTGTTTTGTAATCTGCGCGCGTAGAGAGGATATGAGCACTGCGCGTCACATTCAGCAAAAAAAAAAAAAGGACGACATTGGCGGTTTTGCGGTTTTTGTTTTGCATTTTAGTCGCGCGAGGAAGTGAGAGAAAAATCTAAACGTTTACCGCTTATGTTGATGCACTGAATCCGAGGTTCAACTATAGTTAATGGCAGGTTAAGAACCAAGTAGATGCTCCGCCTCGAGCGCGAACTTCCTGCCTTTGAGAACATTTTGTCGCACGCGCAACCAGAGCGCGGTGAAGCATCTACTGGAACCTGTCACAAACTATAGTCGAGACCGGTTATAACGAAGTCGGTTATAACGAAATAGCGGATATTGCGAAGCGATCACGATTACCCATCCCTTTTGCACTTCGCAATAACCGAAGTCGGTTATAACGAAATAGCGGATATAGCGAAGCGATCGCGATTAGCCATTCCCTTTTGCACTCCGCTATAACCGAAGTCGGTTATAATGAAATAGCGGATATAGCGAAGCAATCGCGATTACCCATTCCCTTTTGCACTTCGCTATAACCGAAGTCGGTTATAACGAAATAGCGGATATAGCGAAGCGATCGCGATTTTCCATTCCCTTTTGCGCTTCGTTATAACCGAAATCAGTTATAACGAAATGGCGGTTATAGCGAAGTGATTTCCGATTCCCGTTGATTTCCTTATAACCGGTCTCGACAGTAGTTTTAATGAGAGATTGAACTGCGTCGCCCTTCTGTACAACATTGCCTCTGTACGCGTTGTGTAGGGGGTATTCACTGAACGCCATATTTGAGTGCACAGTTTAGAGCGCATGTTTAAAACGAGCTGACAATAGTATGTCTGGCTCATATACTTGCATGATTCCTTTCGAGTGCGATTGCAACGGCTTGCGACGTTAACCATTTTGCGGGTTGATATGGCAACGGGGCGGTTGTAAGCGGCTTAAAACCCCGTTGCCATAGCAACCCGTGAAAAGATTACCGCCGCACTGAGCAGTCGCAGTCGGTCGAGCTCGCGGAAGTGTGTGAATCGCCCTTTAGGCTGCTAAGAACGGTAATCTTGATGGTGCAGAATTCCCATCGCAAACTAACTGTGCAAGCTCGTCGTCAGAACGCACTCAACAGTCGCGTACACAGCCAACACAGCTATGTCAACCACTGAATACTCCCTATAGCGTGCCCCCCCCCCCTCCCCCCTTTTGTTGTGTTAAGATGTGTGAGTCACAATAAATGAAGTGAAGACAGTGATAGAATGAGCGAGTGGGAGTGGTTGAATGAGTGTAGAGCAGGAGCTTTCTACCTGCCCTTTCCTCCCCCCATTTTTTGTTATGACAGGTGAGGTGTTTGTGTGTTTCTTAGTGTTTGTGTCTGTCTGTGAGTAAGTGTGCGCTTGTGTCGTCTGTCAATGGACGAGTCTGTAACGTGTGCTCTGCCCTTTGCTGTGAGGTTTGTCTGCGTGCATGTATAGGCGAGCTAGCCCATAAAGGGTGTTGACAGGCTTTGCTGTGCCCCGTTTCTTGTTGTAAGGTGTGTGTACTTGTATGTTTGCTGGAAGGGCATACGGGGAGGTCCCGTTAATATGAGCACCTCCGTCCCCGAAATGTCGTTCCTAACGTGAGTTGTCTATAACAGCGAGACCAAAAGGCGTGTTTTTACGCAGTTCGACCCCCGAAAATGTTGCCTATATAGACGCTTTGCAGCAGCTGTGCATGGACGCCGCCATAACTGACCTTCAGTTTTTGTCTCCTCTTATTCCGTTTATTTCACCTCATCATTACCATAGCAGGCCAGGTTATTGCCATGTTAGATTCGACTGTGTCCTTTTCTAAAGCATCCGCCTTTGTAGAGGATCGTCAACTACCGTTTCACTTGGTCGGCATCTCGGTAAGACAAGAGAACGTCAGCAATGACGGCTGTAATTTGGCGCGTGTGTAAAGCGTCTATATAGCGGTCCGTGTGAGCGAGACAACACTGTATACGTCGGGCCTGTACCATAGCGTGTCTCTTGTTCGTCGCAGATGTCCGGTCCGGGCCTGGAGTGGTCGGCCGTGGAGAAGCTGATGCACGCGGACGAAGACCGCTTCGAGGAGGCCGTCAGCTCCATGGGCGTCAGGGTGAGCTCGTGGGTCCCGCTCCATGTGGGGGCTCGGACAGTCTTGCCACTCGCTCTAGATGGAACTCGGGCCCTTCCGGAATTCGGACGCCTCCGACATTGGGACTCCTCAAGGCCCTTTCACACGCTTGCGTTTGCTGACGACCTTGTGATCTCTTACGACGAGATAACATACACTGGCACGCTGGCGCCATCTATGAGGTGACCCTGCAACTGCATTTCACAAGGGTTTGCGGCATGCGCGAGATCAAATGTACTTACTGTATATGAGAACTGGTCGTTTATAACATTGTCAAAAGCTTTTGGAGCCAACCAAAAAAAATGATGGCTGGAAAGAAAAAAGAAAGACGTTTACAAATCCCTGTAATGCGAAATTAGAGCGCAGTTCTTGAGAATGAGGGAAGGGTACGGAGGGGACGGTATGCCCCTCCTCCTCCTCCGTATATCCTCTCCTCCTCTCCCTCTTTCTTTCATCTCCCTCATATCCTCCTCCTTTCGCCCTCCCCCTCCTCCGTACCCTTCCCTCCTCCCACGGTTTCCCCGCTAAATATGGCTGAAAAATTGACGCCACGTGACCTCCACACCAGTTCAGTTTCCCCGCTATATTTAACGGGCGAAATGACGTCACATGGCTTGCTGTCATGTCACCTGTGAACAAATTCAGTTTCTCCGCTAGATTTAGCGGGAAAATTCATGTCACGTAACCTCAAAACCATTTCAGTTCCCCGCTAAAAAAATAGCGGGGAATTGAATTGGTGTTGAGGTTACGTGACGTAAATTTTCCCGCTAAATTTAGCACGGTTACGCCGACGCCGAGAAACCCGGAAACGGGCGCCTAAGAGCTGCGCTCTACAAAGAATACGTATGCGGAAATGCCAAGTGTTCCACGGCTATTCGATAGATGGCGCCAGTGCGTTCTTTCATCGTAAGGGATCACAAGATGTTTTGAGGCGCGCGGTCGTAAGCGGTCGCAAATGTTTTTTTTTTGTTTTTTTTTTTATTTACAGAAAAAAAAAATAAACCAGCATCGCCGTGCGGCATTTTTTGCAGAGGGTGGGTTTCATACCAGCTTTTTTTTGGAACGCAAGTAGTACACACACGCACACGCACACGCACACGCGCGCACACACACACACGCACACATTCACACGCATGCACGCACACGCACGCACGGACGCACACATACACACGCACACGCACGCACACATACACACGCACGCACGCACGCACACACACATACACAGACACGCACACACACATACACACACAATTGTTCTGTGGAGCAAATATATAATTAAATAAAATGAAATAAAACATATTAACTCGGACACCTCTGAAACTGGGACACCTGATGTCGGACAGATCCGCTGAAAGCTGAAATATATAGCGAGCGTTCCAGGATGCTCGGACACTTGCTTAACTCGGACACTTCTGCAACGGAGGGGACATTCGGAACTCGCTCACGTTTGAAACCGACGAGACACTTCTGTAACCCGGACACTTGCCTGATTCGGACACGTCCCAGTGACAACACGATACAAAGGGTGATTAAAAACAAAGCTAACAAACAGGATAGCCGGTTAAAGATGCGCGTAATTTAAACGGGAGATGAAGGGACGACAAGTAAGAGACAAAAACACGTGTCGCGAGGCAGAATAAATACTGACAAGGGCGGATTTGAGGCCTTCGTCGGGAATGATGATTGAAGACAAAGTTAATAAACGGACGAGCTGATTAAGGTTACACCTAATTTAAACCGGATACGAGCGAACGATGAGAAAGGGACGACCACACACGTCTCATAATGTGGGTTCGTTGAGACGATTCAGACGCCAGCGTTTGCCTCCTTGTCTTTATTTCGTCTCCGGTTTAAATAAGAATAATTAAAAAAAAGAAGCAGATGAGGCTTCCTGTTGTCTGCTCGCTGCGTCTAACGGGAGATGGCGCCACACGTTGCATGCATCGCTTAGAGAGCTCGTATTACGGAGAGTTTCCAACCTCTCGATCGGGTCACGTGAGTTATGGGCCGCGTTTGCAGTGGGGCCCGCGAGGAAGTGCCGAAAGCGTTGTTCGTCTGCAAACGTGTCTGCCTTTCCGCCTGCAATCCTCCTTGCCACGCGAAGACGCAGCAGCGCATGCGCACTTGCGACCAATCTCCGCGGGAAGAGGCTTGCACAAGATACTCACTAAAAGTATTTAAGCTAAGTTACTGAGTACCGCGAAAAATAGTAACTGAGTAGAGTACTAAATACTCAAATTTGTAAAGTAATTGAGTAAAGTACAAAATACTTAAAAAAGTAACTAATTACTTTAAAGATACTTTGAAGTTACAATTTTCTCTGCAATTCATTGTCAAGCACAACCGAAGTCAGAAAAAATTCTTCCTCCCAGCTACCATGGAATCTCCTGGAAATCTCTTAGCGAGACTTTGGCTGCCACTGACGCTTCTAGGAGGTCCCAAATAACTACAAATGAAACAAGAAAACAAAAAAAAAAGCTTTTCTTTTATACCCCCGCTATGGCGAGGACATAGGCGAGGGCAGCGCGGGGCCCGTTCGCCTGCGGAGGGAGTTTCTACACAGAGGCTCGCCTCCGACGCTTCCCTTGTGTCCGATGTTCATTTCCGCTTCCCCCGTCAGTGCACTGGCGGTGCCGTGCAGTCGGGGAGTCCAGGCCAGGGGAGAGAGGGCGCCATCGTGGTGGGCGCCGGCGGTCATTCGTGCTACCGAAGACAATAGCGAGTTTTAGTAGACTGCGTTTCCCCCTCCGCTAAGCCCCTCCGCTACACGGAACTCTACAGCCAAGGCCATCGTGATTAGGTCAGGTCACCTGATTTTCTCCATTAGGGAGTTTTGGTAGACCGTGTTTCCCCCTCTGCTAAGCCCCTCGGCTACCCGGAACTCTACAGCCAAGGCCATCGGCACGCAGGCGCAGTGGCGGTTTCTACGTAGCGGAGGGTTAGCGGAGCGGGAAACACGGTCTACTAAAACTCGCTAATGCTGCGTACGCCGCGAGCAATGAGCCGCCAGATTGGAGCCGTGTAGTTGCGTCTTAAGAGTCTTGTGTGCGATGAGAGTCTAGTGAAACGAACGAGCGGTATGTGCGACTGCATGTGGATGCAAAGGCATTTCTGAAGCTGGAAGGCTTTCTTTTATATACTTTCACTCCATAACATAAAAAAAAAAAAAACTCCGGTTTACTGTCGACTCTTACGAGAAACTTGTAGAATCTCCGACACAAGTGCCCTCCCTCTGACTTGTAGCCTTGTACACATCTTAAGGCCCGTTCACACTCTTGCGACCGAGTACGACTGACAGAGACGAGATCTCTTACAACTTCTTAAATGTTTCTAGAATGAGGGAACACACTGACATTGTGGCGCCATCTATGCGGTGACCCTAGAACTGCATTTCACAAAAGCGAAGGTTTTGCGGGATTTCCGAGGTCAAATGGGCGTAATACCCATAGAAAGGCTCGTTTATAACATTGAAAACAGTTTTTCGAGCCAAAAAAAAAAAAAAAAAAAAAGGATATTGCACGAGAAATAAAAAAAAATATGCCGGACCGCCGAGTTTACACTGCTTCCCAATAGATGGCGCCAGTGTGTTCTCTGGTTTAAGAAGTTTTAAGGAACCCAGGTTTAAGAGGTCGCAAGCAGTCGCAAGAGTGTGAACGGGCCTTTATGCTTTCTCCCGCATTTTTTTCTGTTTTGGAATCTCTGTTGCTCTTGGGCTTGGCCACAAACAAATTGTAAGAAAATGTGCTCTGACGTTTTGCCCAGTTAGAAGACAACGACACACGTCCGCACGGCTTGAGGCTGCGACACCTGCTTCTCCGTGTCACCTCTTTCAGCGGAAGCACGGAAGTGCACTGTATTACCTGGCACGAAATGTATCTGCAATGGCAGGGCGCCTAGCCGAAATAACTGGAGTTCAGTATTTTCCAAGCTTCCCGCCTCTAAAGAAAACAACAAAAAAAAAAATAGAAAGTAACTTAAAAGTAACTTTAAAATGAGCACAAGTTACTAGAAAAAAATATTTAAGTACTAAATACTGAAGTTCGAAAGTATTTGCAAGATACGAAGTTACTCACAAAAGCATTTAAGATACAGTAACTTGAGTAGAGTATTTAAGTTACGTATAAGTCTGGGAGGGATGCTCCATTAAAATGCAAACGCACACCGTGTTTAGAGATGAACCCTCTCCACAATCGAGGCTCTCTACAGCTTCGCTAATTCGGTCGCCTGCGAACCCTCCCGCCGTTGACCCTGGCAAGCTTGTATAGGGTGTATTCACTGGCGGCCATAGCTGTGTGCGCGAATGCTGAGCGCGTGCTGATGGCGAGCTTCCACAGATATTGTCAAAGAAGCAAAGGAAAGAAGAAGAAGCCTGCTCCGAAGGCTGCATCTACTGCAGAAATCGAGACGTCAAGTGTGACGAATGTCATCTGATCTGGCACTGTCCGATTTTTAATGAAGAAAGGACGAAAGCCCTGAACACGCTAGAACAACAACACCGCCCTACGTGCTTCGAAGCCTGGTGTAAACCAGTGGGAGAAAAAGACATGCGTGTCGCGGTCCTGTCCAGTCTGCTCGGATTTCTGAGTGAGACCGGCTTGGACATTCATATCTAGGGGGTCTATACTCCAAGTGGCGGGACCACAGCTATACTATTACTTGTAAATTGCCAATGTCCTGCCTATCCATCCATTTTTAAACTTGCTCCAACAAATTGACTGGTGAAATTTTCACCTATCAATAAACGTCTTCAAGAACAACAACAGCTTCCACAGATCTTTTGCAACGCGCATTCCGCACCATCAAAAGTGCCGGTTTTAGCAGCCTATTAATGTGGACTCGTTCTGAGCATGCGCTCTAAACAGCACCCACAAATATGACGTCCAGTGGATACTCCCTATAGGTTTCATTCTGCGCAGAAAAAGAGCGATGCCTTCAATTTCCGTCAGCTAAAATACACCACCTTTATTCGCTGAAAGTGTCGA